GCAGTTCTCACCTGGGTAACTTTGTGATCACCCACTGCAGTTCTCCAGGAGCTGTCTCTCTCCCACAGGCTAAAGAGGTGAGTTGAATGAGGATGCAGTGGGGATCCCACCCTTGCATCCTCCCAGTCCTCAATGGTGGTTCTAGCCTCTGCGGTCCCTCCAGGAGTGGGTGCCATACTTGGTCTGTTATCTTCCTGGGAAGGCAGTTCTGGCCCTTCCCCTTGGCCTTTCCTATGATAACAGCATTCACTCCACAGGTCTGGGGATTCTGCTCTTTGCTGAATGTGAATTTGGGAACCAGGAAAATGACCAAAAGAGAAATCGAGGACCCACTGGGTTCCCTACAAGGTGAGCCTTACTTAAACCTGCACAATCACCCAACTCCCCCAAAGCCCTTGCTATGACTAGTGGGCCACTGAGACGTTTCGGGTTTCTAGGACTTAGTGTCAGTTCATAGCCAGCGTCTAGTAATCCCTGAAAAGTCTGATTAGTTCCCTTGCATGATGGAGAGAGTGGCCACCATCCCTTTGGGGAAAGATGGGAGGAAGACAAAGCATCTATACTTTTGGCAAGTACCAGTGCAATGACGTCCTGCCAGGGATTCTGGGTTGAGAGCTGGCCTGATAGTTTGGGAGCTCAGGGCCTGTGACTTTGTCTTGGTAATTCAAGTCAGACTTCTGTTCACTAGATCTAAAAAATGGCTTGGCTGCCAATAAGTTGACCAAAATGGTCTTGTTAAAGCAGATTAGGGGATGTCAGCCATCTGCTCCAAACACCCATGAGTTCTTTGCACATCTCCAACTGCCCTGCAAGACCCTGACTGCCCTGCCCTGCTCCCTCCCTACCGCAACTGCCTCCAGGGCAGGCAGCTCTGTGGCCTTCCTGCTCCTGAGATGATCCAGGGTGCTCCGCCTCAGGCTTCCCTGACCAGCTCCTGCTCCAGGCCAAGGTGCTGGACCCCTCCTGCCCCGGTCTTTGCACAGATGACAGCTTCTCAGGAAGGCCTTCCCTGACCACACGTGGGAACTTGCTTCCTGTCTTCTGTGATCTCTATCCTCCTTTCTGCTTTACTTTTCTTCAAAACCCTTCACATTCCCTCACATACTGCATGTTTTAATTATTTAGTTGTTTATTGCCTGTCTGCTCTGAAATGCTCCTCTCTGAGTGTGGGACAGCTCCCAGCACACGCTCATAATTACTGTTTCATGACTGGAGGAGTATCGTCAGCAGTGCTGCTCTTTCCCTCAATTGCTTATGACAGTCTGCAGAACTAACTCACTCGGCCCTACAATCCTGATTTGGAGAAATAGGAGTGAGGATAAGGAATGATGCGTCTTATATTAACATGGCCAAGTTTCAGCACTGTCTCCCTCTCCCTGGGTTACTTGTAAGTCAGAGGAAGCTGCTGCGCATCAACCTGCTTCTTCCTGGGAAGTTCGAGAAGTTATTCTCCCTGACTCTGCCCTGGCTGCCACTCCCGCTTATACCCATGCGTCCAGATGTTCTGCTGCATTGCCTCTGTCTGGGGGCATCACTCGGGCTTGGATCCACATGAGGAATCTGTGAGGCACTGGCCCTCGAGCCGGGATGCGCACAGTGGGCAGCAGGAGGCTGGGATGCTCTGCATTGGGTCTAGAGGCTGACCTGCCGTGGGCAGGCTCTTTGGTGCTCAACAGTCTCACTTCCCTCTCAAGGACCTCGTCTTGACATTGACATTTCTCCATCACAGCTGCAGGATTCTGACATAAACCTGTTGTCCAAGAATTGTTTGCTCCAGCTTAACCAGCTGAGACTTCGCTCAGTAATGACATCAGCTGGAAGAAAGTTTAACAAGCTCCAGTTTAAACTGGAAATTATTGACTCTACAGTGAGTCAGGAAACGCCACGTTTAGGACGTATTCACAATATTTAAAAGCATTGTTGGGCCTTCACTGCTCCACAAGAGCAGGGATTAGAGAGAGAGGGTTTAACGATTCTTCTTAGGGGATATAGGGGGTCTGAGGTCTCTGAAGGATGTCCCTTTGCCCCAACCATCACCTGTAAGTGAGAGAATAGCAACCTAGGAAGGCTTCCCAAACAGAAGGAGAAATACTCAAAACCACCCTATGTTGCCATGTCCCTTTGGATCTGTTTTTGTGATTGCTTCTTTCCCCCTAGAAAACATCCTCAAACACACTCCTTTGTCTGTCGCTCATGACTGGATAGCTAGCAGGAAAAAAAACAAGTGCCTGGGATATGCCCTGGCTTGTAATATCCAGGCTTAGAGTTTTCAATCCAGATTTTCATGGTTTCCTAAAGAAACTCAAAATTACATTCCTGGAATGACCTCATCTACTAATACTCAGCCAGATTCTTTCCCTTTTGGAGCTGATGTGGCAACACAGCCACTTGGGGAGGGGTGAAAATCATAGCCCATAATCCTGCAGGTCATGTTGGGGTTTATCTTAGTACCTAGCGCAACTTTTAGCAGAGACATTTTTCTTTTGTTGCACTTGCTACTGACTCCATTATGTAATTATCTGTGTGAGTTTGTTTCTTGTCTGCTAGCAGGATGGCAAATTGTTGCCCTCCTTAGCTATGCCTTTCCAAGTCCTAGCTCATTGCCTGGTGTGATGGTTAATTTTATGTGTCAACTGAACTGGGCTATGGGATACCCAGATAGCTGACAAAATGTTTCTAAGTATGTCTGTGAGGGTGTTTCCAGAAGAGATTAGCATTTGAATCAGTGACTGAGTTAAGAAGACCCACCCTCCCCAGTGTGGATAGGCATCTTCTAATCTACTGAGGGTCTAGAGCAGTGGTTCTCAACCTTCTTAATGCCACAACTCTTTAATATAGTTCCTGTGGGTTGCGACCCACAGGTTGAGAACTGCTGGTCTAGAGAGAACAAAAGGGTAAAGGAAGATGATTGTTTCTCTTCTAGATCTAGGACATCCAGCTTCTCCTATCCTCAAACATAAGAACCCCAGGATCTTGGGTATTCAGGCTCTGGGCCTTACACCAGTGCTTCCAGGTTCTTGGTTTTTGGCCTTGGACTGAAAGCCACATCATCCAGGGCTTCTTACCCTCCCTGCTCACAGGTGATTCTCACAATAAATCCCTTCTCAACTCTCTCTCTCTGTGTATCCTATAGGTTCTGTTTCACTAGAGAACTCTGACTAATACAACTGGCACAGAGTAGAATCTCATCTACTATTTGATTTCTGAATGACTGAGAAGTTTGAGTATCATCCCAGCATTTACACAGCCTGGGGCTGGGTCCACTGCAGCTGCTGTTTGGGAGATGGATGGCATTAAAAGCTTGCAGCATGGCGATCAAGGGTTATTGATTTCAGTTATGCCATGATGTATTTGAATTTATACTATGATAGAGGTTCATTGCAAGTAGTTAGGAATTTCATCCTCTAAGAGCTGAGAAAATGTATTGTTGGTGAGGGGATATGGGGGCCCTACCTCACACACAGGAGGGAAGACACAAGTGGAAACCATTGTGATGATGGAAGAAGTGTGTTTCCAGGCAGACAAAGGCCCAGAGCTTGTGTGTGCATGATCTCATCTTATCTAATGGCAGCCCAGGAGGTAGGGATCATTATTAACTTCATTCTTTTACACAAAGAAGCTGAGGTTTGGAAAGTTAAAATGATGTAGCTATTTAAGGACCTTGCTGGCTTTGGGACCTAGGTGAGAAAACTCTTTAGATGATATCCCCCCAGTTAAATGGGGAAATAAGGGTACCTCCTACAGGTCAAAAGAGATAATGGACCAGAACATGGCCGGACACAGTCACAGCCCTTGAGGGGAGACTGCTGCAGAGGCCAGGCTGCCATCACATAGACCCAGGTGGTGTCTCTTGGACCCTGTTCTGAAAAGGGGAAGTGGGACTGGACACCTGCCATGTGGAGCTCCACACCAGGGCCCTGGCATGCCTACCACAGGTGTCACATGAATGGGAAAATGAAACCCAGCTCCCCCCCCCCCATGGGGTGGCTGCTCAGCTGTGCTGAAACTCAGGACACAGGATCTTAGAAAAAGCCTGAAGGGAACATCCACCACAGAACTGGAAGAATATTTTGAAAATTCTGATAGGAAATCCGAGGAAAACCAGGTCCTATCCAGCTGATGTGGACAGGGTGCT